GACAGTTGGACTTGATCCTGGAGGTCTTTTCCAACTTTAATGATTCCATGATTCATTAAGGTAATATGATCTTATTATGTGCTAGCTAAGAAATTCATTATTTGTTGGATAATTATTTTTGTAAGCTCTAGAATAATTTCCAAGTGCCTTATCAGACTCATTCATTATGGAACACCCAAACATACTCTTTGCAGAAGTGGTTCTTATTCTTGGGATCTCATTATTAAAGTATGCACCTAAAAAATTCTCTCACTGTACTCTACAACAACATTCCCTGTCCCTCTAGCACAAAGATAAAGGAGAAAGGTTGCAGAAAGACCTCTGCAATGTACCCAGCCCTGCAAATTAGTCCTGACTTAATAATTTGCCTGGTCAAAAATCTAACAACATACTACGCACCAGACAAGATGCCTGGGAAGTAAGAGTTGAAGAGCTGCATAAGAGAACACAGACACCTAACAATTTTGATTACTCTAGAATGACACTATACTTTTCCTTCATTGTGCATACTCCTAGTTCTATCAGAATTCAAAACCACATCTTTTCTCCTGTTTTTTACATGTGAAATCACTAGAAAAAACACCATGGTGCTATTACAATGCAGTAGCATCACAGTACGTCCACACCACAACTTCTATATGCATGTCTGTGACTCAGCTTGCTCTCATGCAAAAACTCTTTGCAGTTAGGAGTCACTCAAACACCTAAAATGGTTGCCCGTAGATGAGGCTCCATGTCAGCTTCCTTAACTTCTGATTTCCAACTACAGTGTTATGATTTTACATTTTAAGACAGACTTAAAACATTGTCAACATACAAGAGAAGTTGGATTCTTATTTAAAGGCTTACTTTTTTCACAAGTTGGTTTTTGAGACCAGGTGCTATTTTCTCCACAGGTAATTGCCTCTGGTCCGATCATGAAATAGCCTGGATCACACTCAAACACGACTGAGTTCATATAGGTATAGGAAAGTCCAAATCCATCTTTTTTTCTTCCATTTTCAACTTTTGGGTCATCACATTTGACCACTGAAATAGGTAAAAGAAAAACAGCTCTGAAACATTTGCTAACAGTAGCTTTGCACAGACACAGCATCCTTTTACTACTTGTAAGGTTCCTTATCTAATTCCTCAAATTGTTTTGGAGGGGCTTTGTAAAAAGGTTATTCTCTTGAAGGTGGAGAAGGTCCTTCTTTTAAGCTATTGAGTTGTAATGGTACACGGTCACATAAGAAATTGTAATAATCAATACAATCACGTCCCACTTCCAAAAGACATACTCCAGTACAGTGGTAGAACTTCAGAAGACCAAGTGACATTGATTAGGGTTCAAATGACAACATGGAAGCATCTAGTATGTCTCTCTACATCTGCAAAGCAAGACTTCATGCTTGCTGGGCTTTGCATTTATCTCTGCACTTGCATAGTTGCTCTGTTCAGAAGAGTTCTTCCCTACCTTTTTACTATTCGTAATTTAGCTTCCACTTTCTTGCTCCCTACACAATTTTTCTTCAGCTACCCAGGCTTTATGGCCTCTTGGTTCCTTCACTTTGTCCTTGCCACTTTACCAACAGCATGCTCACACATATAAAGTTTTAACTTAAAATTTAGTCATGTTCTGTGTCTTAATCAATCAGTGTCCATAACATAGTTGATCTGATCTTCACTGGAACTATATCAAACTTAGTACCAGAGGATCCGCTGCTTCTTTTCCACCCCCTACCCCACCTCCCTAAAAACCAAGGGATATTGACATTTTGGAGTCACATAGGCTATAATCAAGAAGTATATTAAAAATTCCAACAACCTTTACACTGTGGCGGTGGATGGCTCCAAATTCCATTTGAGTGTTTATCAGTTGTGCAGAAAATAGTAGCTGAACCAATGAGCGAGAAGGGATCTGCGCCTTTTGGTACTTTATCACACTTATAGGTCACAGCTGTTTGATAAACATAGCTCTCTGCTTCAGTGTAGTGCCCATTGACTATGCTTGGAGGTGGTGCACAAGGAATTTCTGGAAATAAATCACACAACTTAATTAACAGAATTTTGCCGTTACCTTGCTCATCTCAGAAACAGCGAGCCTTGATGTTCAAGTAATTTCATTTAAAATCTGACACACAGCCATTTAAGACAAGCTACACTTATAACTGAGAGTTACTGAGGGTCGTTTATCACAGGGAGTCTCAGCTTCAAGAAGAGGTTGACTTTAACTAATATGAACTAATTGTCACAACAACTGATACTTTTCAGTGGTCATTCCTCAGGCCCATCCCAAATAGTTCCAAAAAATAAAAATAAAGATCAGTCCTGTTTTACAATCATTTCTTATACTGGGAAGTTTACGGCACAGCTGTTTTTAAACGAACTACCACCATCTGAATATAAACTTAAACACAGTAGTAATTTACTTACTTTCACAGAAAGGAAGATCTCTATCCCAGTTGACACCCTTATCCTTAATTACACAGGAAATTTCATGAGGTCCAAGTAATCTGAATCTAGACAGGTAAAAATTTGTAAAGAGGCAAAACTTAAGAAGTCTCTCATTTCCCCAACAAGCACCTAGAAACTCTTTATATTTCTGTTCTGTGATGATGGGCACATAACATACCAAAGTTTTGTTGTAATGAGAATGGCATCTTAATTTTTAAATTTATTTTGCTAACAGCCTCAACTCTGAAAACAAAAGAGAAGCAAATGAGACATCACTGAAGGGACTGCTGGAAGTCTGGCCATTTTAAGGTATGTACCATCTAATGCTAACGCCCTAAAGTCACTAATACTAAAGAAAGACGCTGTTAAAAGGAAAGGGAAGGAAAAACCTTCCAAGAGGTTAGTACTTTTGCCTTAATTTTCTATCCAGAGACAAGTGGGCCATTATTCAATATCATAGTGAAGAGTGATGAATATACATATTTATTCCCTCTACCACAGGAGCATTAAAAGAAGTCATGAGATGTAACGCTCTAGTTTTCATTCTGCAGAACCTCACTAAAAAACTCAAGCCCTGGTTGATGCAAACACCAAGTAAAACCAGGGAATCAAATTTATCTGTAATTTCATTTTGTCCAGATAGAATTGAGGAGACATTTCAAGTCAGAACTGGAATGGAACCTGCATAAGAAAATTTGGGTTTGGTTCAAATGTGGTCTAAAGAGAAAAAAAAAAAAAAAGAAAAAGGATTAATTAACTTCACCAAAATACTTACCCTTCTACACAAGAAAATGTAGCTTTTGAACCAAATGTAAGATCTGTCACATTAGTAACACCATTTTCTAATTCTCCTGGATGCTTACATTTTCTCTCTAGAGGGGAGTGGAAAAGAAAAGCAAAAAAAAAAATCTATATCTTTGTAGTTAGTTACACACAAAGACGAAGTCTCTGGCATATACTGCTCTCACCATCATTACCATTTTTCAAGCTTCATTTAAAACCTTACAGAATACTAATTCTCACCTGGAAAACAACTAAAATTGTTAAATCAAAGGGAAAAAGCAGAAGAGCTCATACACACGTTACCTGTACAGAACCTC